TTCCAATATTAAAATCTTTAAAATGTTTCTACCCGCATTTAAATCTATAAAAACATAATTTCTGTTTTAAAATCTATAAAATGTTTCTTCCTGTATTAAAATCTATAAAATGTTTCTTCTTGTATTAAAATCTATAAAAAGTTTCTTCCATCTATACAATGTTTCTTCCGGCATTAAAATGTAGGACATGTTTTGTCACGCGCTAAAATATATAAAAATTTATCAAATGTTTTTTTCAAGCCTTAAAATTTGTTAAATATTTTATACTCCATAAAATGTCCCTTGCCGCATTGAAATATATTTGACCTACGCAACAAAAGACTTTTATAGATTTCGAGTATTAAAATTTATAAAATGTATTTTCGATCTTTAAAATATTTTGTCGCGTATTAAAATCCAAATGATGTTCCTTTCTGCGTTAAAATCTACCAATTTTCTTTCCTCAACAACATCTATAAAATATCTATCCTTCATTAAAATATCGAAAATCATTTTCCCGCAAAAATTTTAAAAAATATTTTCTATGCATTAAAATTTATCAAATATTTTTACGTATAAAATCTATAAAACATTTTATCTTGTATTAACACTTATCAAATATTGACTCGTACTAAAAATTCTCAGTTGTTTATTCGCATATCAAAATGTATATTTTTTTCCATTTATTAGAATATGTAAAATATTTTATCACATACTAAGTTCACTTCTCCCTTCGATGGTTGGGTAAGCATATTGTGTGTACACTTATGTGTATATATTTTGTGTACACATGAGTACAAAGGTAAAGATAGAAGGGATATAAGCTCATTAGAACAGAACCAGGGATTTCTCATCCTTTGGAGGAACCACTCTCAATCTCTTAACCAATACAGTTTGGTGAGACAATTTAAAATTATTCTGAGACAATTTATAATTCAGGGTTGTTCTTCTCCTAGATAGATTGCCACACAAAGCTGCCATGCTGTTTACCCACAGCTGGGATTCATATCTTTCGCAAGAGTATTTTCACGTAAGGGAATATAATGAATTCGACTTGAATTCGAACTCGGCTCTCTGATTTCACAATTCGAGCCGCTATCCATTATTCTGCTTGGGTACTCTTTTATAAATACGTTACTTCAAAAAAATAGTTTCGTCAAAAATCTGTTATTTGCCAATGCCCCCGAAACTGGCGGATTTAAAAAAAAATCCATTTTAATAAATTCTCTTTGTTTACGTTTGAATAAGAAACTGCGCGCAGATATAAAAAAAAAAAACAAAAAAAAAATCGAAAACTCATTGACAAGAGAAAATTTGCTTGAACGCATCAAATTTGACTCCGCCTGTCCGTCGGTCTGTTCATGGCCTTAACGGTGGAGGCGAACCGGGCTAAACGGTGACTCTCTCTCTCTCTCTACCCTAAAAGATGCAGGTTCGCAAGTTTTTCTTTGATAAAATTCATCGATATTTCGGGCCGGTAGGTGAATATAAGTAAATATACTGTTTAATATACCGTGTGTAACATCCAAACTGTCCAAATCGTTTAAGAGAAAAATTGACCAAGTGTTAAAATTGGAACCGTTGTATCTTAGAAATGATTAAAAATATCTTACTGGAATTCTCCGAGGTTTTTATAACACCACTGGACTTTACCTTGAACAATAAGAATGTATTTAACTCTAAGTTGAAATGATGATCCTTCTTGCTGTTGTGACCTCCTGATCCAGTCCTCCTTTCTACTGTTCCCTCTTTTTTAAAATTTATTCACCGTTTTCTTGGTGGTTCTTGAATGGAATTTAAAGATGGAAGACAGAGCATGAATGATGGTACTATTATTTAAGGCCTGAATGATATTTTTCTCTCACCATTGCTCATTTGGGAAGACATAGTGGGGCTGACACAAAACAATTTTAACCCGCTCTCTTGTTAGCTGAATAACTCAAAGGGTTTTTTTTCAAATTTTTTGATTGTGACGGAAATATGGTGTCAAGATGGCTGAACGTCTTATATAAAAACCTGTAAAAAAGAAACTCAGTTAGTTTAGTATTTCTTAGATATTAGATTTATAGAATCAAAAGCTCCTCTAATCATTTCTGTTTTTCTCTCTCTTCTTGCGTTATCAAGAAAAATGTATTTTGTTTTCAAATGCATCCTATACCTCCCACGCACACACACACACACACACACACACACACACACACACATATATATATATATATATATATATATATATATATATATATATATATATATTAAAAATGGACAAGGTCCGACAATTTATTTATTAAAGAAAATTTTATGTTTAACATTTGTTATTTGCTTAAATACTTGTATTTATAAAACAACTGTTAAACATAAAAATGTCTTTTAATAAATAAATTGTCGGACCTTGTCCATTTTTAATATATGACGTCATTTGTTTACATTTGATACGCCAGAGCAGTTATGAATGTACGAGATTCATGGAAGATTGAAGTATATAAGCAGTAAATTCGACCCTGTCTATCGAAAGGTTCTTTGTGACCGAGCGGTTAAGGCACGTCAGCGTAAATGACGGTTCCGTATAGGATGCAGGTTCGAATCCTGTCAAAGAACGAATATTTTCTATGAAAATGTCTCGGACATTCAGGCCGGTAAATGTTATTTAATACTGTTTATCATAAACAGAGCATTTGCTTAAATACTTGTATCTATAAATAACAACGTTAAACATAAAAATGTCTTTAATATATATATATATATATATAAGCAAATATATGGATATAGATCCGACAGTATGAAGAAAAACAAACAAAAATCCTAATATGCAATTATGCTGTTTTAATGTTAATATAATGTCAACGTCGGACGCTTGATTAGTCTTACTCTTATGTCCATCGTCTTTTCATGTTGAATTAAATATAGTCTAATGTTAATTATGTTTTATGAATATGTCCTGAAGAAGGTCTACTAGACCGAAACGTCCGACGTCGACATTATATTAACATTAAAACAGCATAATTGCATATTAGATTTTTGTTTGTTTTTCTGTATATTTTTTCATATATATATATATATATATATATATATATATATATATATATATATTACAGCAAATCATTCATACATAAATTAGTAAAGTTAATGATATAAAACGGCGAATTCCCTTCACTAACTAAATTTTAAAGATGGATTAACTCACTGACCACTCGATGAATTCTATGATCCCTGTTTTTCGTAAATTATAATCTGCATTAGATCTTCCTTAAATATGCAAGTACTTTCGACGGGTTCTCCGGTCATCATCAGGCATAGAAATTATTTCTTTTTGGTACGTCGTTTTATTTCATGCATTATATAATGTAATAACTGAGCATTGTCATACAATTAATTCACTATGGGAAAGCATCATTGTCTTAGCCTAGTGACTAGATTAATGATATTGTTACTTCATCAATGAAATGTTTCCTTTATGAACATAAGCAAACAATTAAAGTACAGCAAAATGGGTTGTGTTCAGGCTTGAAAGCTTTACCAGGATACTGGACAATATAAGGACAGGTAAAGATCGGGAGCTCCAAGGAAAAAAAACAGTGCAACTGAGTAGACCAATTCATAGGCTTCCTGGAGCTAACCAAATACTGACAGCCGTGGACATTTGGATTCAATTATCTAGTAAAACTGACATTACTTTTACACTACAAACTGCCTGATACCGTCTAAGAGAATTTGAATTATTCGGACTCATTGCTAGAAAAAAAGCCAATTCTTTTGGAGAGGAATTGACACAAGTGGATAAATTTCGCGAAAAGTCACATTCAATGGACGGCCGACAACTGGTGTGGAGTTCTTTGAAGTGACGAGTCATGCTTTTGCGTCTTTGGATCGGATGGAAAAAACCTTTGTCAGACGCCACCCAACCAAGGAATTCCGTCCTAAATGTGTCAAAAAGACGGCGCAATCAGGAAGTAGGGATGTAATGATTTGGGGTGCATTCAGAAACTTTGGTATTGGTGCAATTGTTAAAGTTGATAGAAAACTCAACAATGTAGGCTATATGAAGCTAGTTAAGGAACATGTCCGGCCATATTTGACTGACCAAATGTCACCTGGAGATATTCATCAACAAGATAATAGACCCATTAAGAAAGCCAAAAAAGTAATACAATTTTTTGATTCCCATAATGTGTCCGGATCTTAATCCGATTGAAAATTTATGGAATTATATTTCTAAAAGTGTTCACACTAAAAAAAACTGACAAATGTTGCCCAATTATATGATTATATTAAGCAAATATGGCAAAGCATTCCAAATGATTTTTGTGCTCACTTATCAAGATCAATGTCTAGGCGATGTGAAGCTGTAATTAATAATACAGGTTACGGCACTAAATATTGATATTTTTTTGCTCATTTTTTACTATAAACTTTTTGCTTTGAATATAATAATGCCCATGTGGCCTTAAAATTATTTTGCCGGCAAATCTGAATAATTTAAATTAATCCATCATTAAAATTTTTCAAGTTGTAGAAAAATATACAATTTTTACATTATTCGAAAGAGAAATGAATTCTGCATGAAACGTACGCAATAAAATTAATTTATATTTTTTTATTAGAAACATTTTCTGAAATTAATAAAACTTTAATCCTCGGTCTGAAACTTATTTTTGCCTTATATATATATATATATATATATATATATATATATATGTATGTATGTATGTGTGTGTGTGTGTGTGTGTGTGCGTGTGTGTGTGTGTGTGTATCTGTATAATAATAAGTTGTGGATTGTATATATATATATATATATATATATATATATATATATATATATATATATCATTAATCATTGCAGAAAACGAGTAGCCGGCCTTTAGTTTAAATACATGTGAATTGAGTCTCATTCTTAGAAGTGTGTATTTTAAATACTGGGTTTCTCCATTTTCGTACTTATAAAATCTCCCTTGTTATAATCAAATCGTTCACTTTTTTCTACCCTTTTCAACATCGTATTTTACTACTTTTTCTGTGGAGTATTAATGTGAGTGAACAAAATTCGTCAACAAGGGTTAATAACGAACACTGAATAGCTATTTTATATATATATATATATATATATATATATTTAAGCATTACGCCCCGAGCAAGGCGTGAAGCCACTAGGATGCAGGGGGTTGCAGAAGATTTGGAGCAAGAGCAGATAGGAGTGATGGAAGAAAGGATGAGGAGAGGGATAGTGGATAGATCAAGGTAACTGGAGATGTCGATTGACATTACATTTGAATAGTTGGAGATTATAGTTCTCAGGGAAACAGTAATTAGGAAGGGTGTTCCACAGGCGAGAGGTGCGAGGTATGAAGCTATTGGAGTAGAAGAGACGGCTACATTTAAAAGTTTCTACAGTGAAAGGGTGGGAGCGGGATGCCAGCCTCGTAGGGCGCTTGAATTCATGGAGTCTGGGAACCAGTGAAAGCAGCTCATCGGAGCAATTACCATGAAAGTATTTGTAGAAAAGACAGAGAGAGACGACGGCGCGTCTGTGAGAGAGTGACTGTAGACGAGATGCCAGATCAGAGCCAATTATATTACATATATAGATATATATTTCACTTGAAAGCATGAAATTTGACTTCACCGTCTATCTCTTCGTGGCCAAAGCGGTATAGACCCACCGGGCTAAACGGTGGCTCTTTCTAGTCTGAGAGATTCAGGCTCAGTACCAATTTTTCTTTAATAAGATTTTTCGAAATTTCTGGTCGGTAGATGAATATTAATGTATATACAGCTTAATAAATAAACTGGGCGTCTACTCAAATATGCGTATACAAAAATAATGACGTTTAAAGTGATACCAACCTGTCAGATTAATATATCCTTTCTAATAAATTCTCTATGATAGATACAGTGTAACCCGGATATAAGAGACCCTGATATAAGAGAAACCCGGATATAAGAGAGATTTTCTCTGGTCCCAAATTAGAGCCTGTGTTAATGTATATAAAATAGACCAAACCCGGATATAAGATAAACCCGGATATAAGAGAAACCCGGATATAAGAGTTTTCTACTCTAGTCCCAAATTAGAGCCTGTGTTAATGTATATAAAATAGACCAAACCCGGATATAAGATAAACCCGGATATAAGAGAAACCCGGATATAAGAGAAACCCGGATATAAGAGACTTCTACTCTGGTCCCAAATTAGAGCCTGTGTTAATGTATATAAAATAGACCAAACCCGGATATAAGATAAACCGGATAAAGAAACCTTGGATCCGGATATAAGAAAACCCGGATATAAATAAAGAAAACCCGGATATAAGAGAAACCCGGATATAAGAGACTTCTACTCTGGTCCCAAATTAGAATCTGTGTTAATGTATATAAAATAGACCAAACCCGGATATAAGAGAAACCCGGATATAAGAGACTTCTTCTCCGGTCCCGACAACTCTCTTATATCCGGATTACACTGTATAAAAATTCTTGACATAAATATTCGATTTTCGCGCAAACCATTTGCATTAATGCTAGATAAATACAAACTATCTTAGCCATAGTTCAATTTCCTATTAGCCTCTATATTATAGATCTTCTTTCTCTTTACGATACACGCCTCAGTGACTAGGCTCAAATTTTTCTCCTTTATTTTTCATATTCCAGACGTATCTGTACATGGTTGCATTGTTTTTATACTTGCTCGAGTTCAACGAAGACTTCTCTATGTTCAGCAAATTTCAAATTTCGAAATTTGCTATACATATAAATAATGGACGTATTGATAAAATAATGACACGAGATAACTCTTTGATGTCAATGATTTCGTGGTTTCAGAAACTTTGTCAAGGCAAATGTAGAAATTTTATTGAGAAACCTGCGCAGAAAAAGTAACGCTGATCAAATTATAAACGTTACGTGTTCAAATTTGAATTCGAGAACGCTGTAAAATATCCCAAAATCTCTCAGCGTTAAGGAAAGGGAATTAAAACAAAGGAAAGACCATGTAGAACGCTAATTGATATCAATATTTGGCATGTTGTTTAAACGGAAGTGAATTGACTTTTTTCATTATTTTTAGCCTTTTTTTTTTTTTTTTTGCTTATTAATAAAAAAAAGCAACACCCAATAATATCAACTATGAACATGGACACAATATCTTGACCGTGTTTTGAAAATGAAAACATTATATAAATACATACATACAAGAAAGTATTTCTTGTTAACAGTTAATATATTTCAACCTTAAAAATGGCTAAATGTATAGCCGAAAGCTCTCGGATAAAAAGAACATTCGGACAGTTTTTATATAATTTATCGTCTGAAAAGAAACAAATTATTAGATCACATGAGAAATTGTATAAAAAAAACTAAATCAAAGCACCTTGTCTGTCATATTCAATTAAATGTGCATGAAAGAAGGATTGCTGCCTAAATACACAAATATATATGTGTGTGTGTGTGCGTATATATATATATATATATATGTGATATATTATATATATTATTATTTATATATTATATGCACGGTACTTATTAGAAAGCGCTCAATATCAGAAATAGAGCTAACATATTTGGTTGGATTGATGTGAGTTTGTAACCCCTGGGTTTCACGCTTTTGCGATCGTCAGACGATCCTAAAAGGATGAAACCCAGGGTCACAAACTCACATCAATCCAAATATATATATATATATATATATATATATATATATATATATATATATATATATATATATATATATACATACATAGAGAGAGAGAGAGAGAGAGAGAGAGAGAGAGATAAAGATAAATAGATAGATATTATTGAAAACTGTTCTTTATAACTATTTCATAACCAAAACGTGATCATGTGGTAATATTGCAGTTTATTTATATTAACTAAAAGTGGATGATGGTGTATCCTACAATAACAAAAATGTCAAATTTTGCCAAGCGCAGTACTAGATTGGCGGTAGTGTCTCATCATTTTTCAGCGGAGATGCCTAGATGTAACCGTAAGTTCTATGTTAACAGTTTCTTCTCTCGCAATTCTCTCTTCCAGTTTTTTGTTTCTTAGTCAATTTTGATCTTCAAAAATTTAAATGCACTGTCAATCGTTATCTTCTGTCTTTTTAATTCTTATCTTTTTATTGTCCTCTCTCCTTAATAGTAGTTTTTTTCATATTCTCTAGCACTCGGTAACCTCTTGCATCCTAGTGGCTTTATTGCCTTTGATCTTCAAAAATTTAAATGCAATGTCAGTCGTTATCTTCTGTCTTCGTAATCCTTGTCTTATTATTGTCCTCTCTCCTTAATAGTAGTTTTTCTCATATTCTCTGACACTCAGTAACCTCTTGCATCCTAGTGGCTTTATTGCCTTTGATCTACAAAAATTTAAATGCAATGTCAATCGTTATCTTCTGTCTTCATAATTCTTGTTTTTTATTGTTCTCTCTACTTAACAGTGTTTTTTTCTTATACTCTCTAACACTCGGTAATCTCTTGAATCCTAGTGGCTTTATTGCCTTGTTTGGGGTGAAATGGCTAAAGAAAAAAAGCGTTCTTAAACTTTCGGGAAGATTATACATTTGTCTTGATGAAGGTTCCTCGAGGAAGGAGACATGTTAACATCAAAAGTAGGACTTCAGAGAGCAGGTCTACCAGCAGACCAAACTAAAAAAAAAAAAAAAAAAACCTTCTCTAAAGACTAGTCATTGGAAATCGCGTTCAGCATTTGTAAATCAACATACCCTAAAGCCTATATTATTTCAAAGATTGTAATCTCGCCTCCAGTCACTTTCTTATCGACCTGACGTGACTTCCCTCTGTCTTTTCTACAAATATTTCCATGGCAACTGCACTGACGAGCTTTTTTCCATAGTGCTCTGACTATATGAATATAAGTGTGCTACTAGATTGGCATCTAGGTCCCACCCCCTTTTACTGTTCAAATAGTTAAATATAACCACCACTTCTACTTCAGAAGTTTCTTTTCTTGCACTTCACGACAGTGGAACTGCCTTCTGTTTATTTGTTATGGAGTGATTTCAGAATGGAGACTAGTATTTGTACTAAGTCGGTCCTAAAATAGGTTCGACGTACAAAACGTGAGGAACTTGATATAATAGGTAATGACGGATAGAAATCTAGTGGTGGTCGCTGATACTTTAGTATCCGACTAACGGTCGTCCGGCATCGACTGACTGACCAACCCACTGAGAGTATTTAGTCACCCCGACCCACGAGGGCATTATGTGGCACAAGGCCAGTTTAACGTGGGATCTCAGAGCCCGTGGGCTCGGCTCAAAATATGCTCATTGAACCCTTATAAACGGGTTCAGGGTCGGTTTACCTCCCCGAAAGAGACTCCGCCCTTCGGCGTAGCATCATTCGGGTTCCTCCCCGCCCGAAGGCAGAGAGTTCAACCGGTCAGCCGGTCGTCCGACTTCAGACTGAACTCGGACCGACCCACTGAGCGACACCTCGTTACTCCTACTACTGCTACTTATTATAGGTGGGAGAGTTTATTTACTATAGAATAGGTGTGTTTCACTATAACATTATTTCTCTCCTGATAACTACAATCTTCAAAAATTTAAATGCAACGTCAATCGCCATCTTCTATCATCTTAAAATTCTAACATCTTTTATTATTTCCTCAATTCCCCCTACACCTAATCTTTTCTCTCACTTTCACCTCTCTGTAACCGCCTTGCTTGGGGTGAAATGAGAATAAAATATGGCCAGATAAGACAAAACTTTGGAGGTATAATGAAAAAGTATATTGGGAGACGACTAAATGCGGCTTTCATTACAAAATCAATCGTCCTTATGACAAAATAGCATTGTTCCTACGACAGAACATGGAGGAAGGAGTATTATACTGTAGAATATTTCTCTGTAAAAGAATAAGATAGAATGGTAAAGGTTAACTGGAATGGTAATAGTAATATTAGCCGTTTCCTTATAAGGAAACATTAGGTATTCATTAACCGTATTGCCAGTGTCGGTTGAAATTTATAAAAAGAACTTTTCGGAAAAATATCTTCCTCAATACCAGTACATGTCATCATTATTTCCAGTATTGATGGGGCTTCGTTCATAACCATTTGTTCGATGCAGTGTGGAATGTCATCGTCTTGATTATACTATTATTCTCTTTTCGAAATACATGTGCTATTCATTATATATATATATACATATATATTTATTAAAGACATTTTTTTTTATGTTTAACGTTGTTATTTTTATAGATACAAGTATTTAAGCAAATGCTCTGTTTATGATAAACAGTATTAAATAACATTTACCAGCCTGAATGTCCGAGAAATTTTCATAGAAAATATTCGTTCTTTGACAGGATTCGAACCTGCATCCTATACGGAACCGTCATATACGCTGACGTGCCTTACCTCTAGGCTACAAAGAAGCGTTCGGTAGACAAGGTCGAATTTACTGCTTATAAACTCCAATCTTCCATGAATCTCGTACATTCATAACTGCTCTGGCGTATCAAATGTAAACAAATGACGTCATATATTAAGAAATGGACAAGGTCCGACAATTTATCAAAAAAAATGTCTTTAATAAATAAATTATCAAAAAAAATGTCTTTAATAAATAAATTGCTGGTGTCGACCTTCATCTCCGAAGAAAGAAATTTACAATATTGATCCATATTTTTTTAATATAATCTAAGCTTTCGGCTTACTTAAGCCATTATCAAAGATGTAAATCACAAACATATTAAACAAACATATTAAACGTATATTGTTTAATATGTTTGTGATTTACATCTTTGATAATGGCTTAAGTATTTCTTTCTTCGTTTAATGATAATGTTATCAAACTTATCAGATGTTACGAACAAATTTTACATAAAATAAATAGACAACACTTGTCTATATTATTTAATGAAACGTGTATATATATATATATATATATATATATATATATATATATATATATATATATATATATATATATATATATATATATATATACCTGGTCAGATCAAAAAAGTATTGGTGTTATCTTAAGTATTAGGGTATACGAGGTCTGATAAAAAATTCTCGGGACTGGTGATATAAAAAGAAAACTTCGACATATCAGTTGGGCATTTCCTTCGAAGCCACACACGTCGTTTTCTGTTGATGGAAGCATTATTGGAATTCCTTTTTGGGAGAGGGATAACGCGCAACTGCCTTGTCGCATTCTCTTGGATTTTTTCCTCGTCTTCAAAATGTTGTTCCTTTCAAATGGAATTTGACTTTTTGAAGAGGAAAAAAGTGTCAAGGGGCGAGATCTGGGGATGATGTTAATTGTCCGACCAGGGGAATGCCTTAATTGGCCAAAAAATGCTACATAAGCCATAGTCACTGATGGAACTTGCCTCTGAATGTGGTGAGACGACCACACACTACACACTTTCCTTCCGAGCACTGCTATAAACAACGGAAGTGAGCGAGAACAATATAACTTAGTGTGCGTGTGCGACGGGTTTCAAGGTTGATCTATGCCAAGCGGCTGCAGTCTGCTTACTTTAGCGCCGTTAACATAGCAACAGTGTCGATATTTTTTATAAAACATCGTATATCTAATACCTCCTGATGAGTGGACGGAACTGTTGCAAAAAAGTTTTTTCTACGAAAATCTTGAGTCGGGGTGGTGAATATAATACCAATTACCTATATATATATATATATATATATATATATATATATATATAGATAGATAGATAGATAGATAGATAGATAGATAGATAGATAGATAAAATGAGGACAGATAGATATATAGATAGATAAAATGAAGGCAGAGATAGATAGATAGATAGATAGATAGATGATAGATAGATAGAGATAGATAGGTAAACTGAGGACAGATAGATATATAGATAGATAATCTGAAGGCATAGATAGATAGATAGATAGATAAGATAGATAGATAGATGATAATCTGAAGACATAGATAGATAGATAGATAGATAGATAGATAGATAGATAGATAGATAGATAAAATGAGGACAGATAGATATATAGATAGATAATCTGAAGGCACAGATAGATAGATAGATAGATAGATAGATAGATAGATAGATAGATAAACTGAGGACAGATAGATATATAGATAGATAATCTGAAGGCACAGATAGATAGATAGATAGATAGATAGATAGATAGATGAAGATAGATAGATAGGTAAACTGAGGAAAGATAGATATATAGATAGATAATCTGAAGGCACAGATAGATAGATAGATAGATAGATAGATATAGATAGATAGATAAACTGAGGACAGATAGATATATAGATAATCTGAAGGCACAAATAGATGAATGAATGAATAGATAGATAGATAGACTGAGGACAGATAGATATATAGATAGATAATCTGAAGGCACAGATAGATAGATAGATAGATAGATAGATAGATAGATAGATAGATAGATAGATAGATAGATAGACTGAGGACAGATAGATATATAGATAGATAATCTGAAGGCACAGATAGATAGATAGATAGATAGATAGATAGATAGATAGACTGAGGACAGATAGATATATGCATAGATAATCTGAAGGCACAGATAGATAGATAGATAGATAGATAGATAGATAGATAGATAGATAGATAGATAGATAAACTGAGGACAAATAGATATATAGATAGATAATCTGAAGGCACAGATAGATAGATGGATGAGACGGAGGAAGAGGATATGAGTAAAGAGAATAGTAAGAAATGTGTTGAAAGGAAGTTAAAATTGAGAATTTCACAAGTAGAGACAAATGGCTATAAACTCTCATAAAATACAAACAGAAAAACAATGAATAAATAGCAATGTTTGTAGCTGATGGCATGGATATTTTCCCGCACCGATAATCGTCATTACATACGATTATTGCAATAACACAATAACACACGTTCAATCATAATACGTATTCAATAATACGTATATAATTACGCGTGCTCAATAACACATAAAACAAAGCTGGAAGACAAATAAACCCTTTGATCGCCTGGGCAACCTCTGAAGGCAGATGGTTTTTGGCGGAAGTGCTTTTGCGCGCATGACAACGATTGCGTTTACTTCCGTTTCGATTGACGTACAAAAGATAATCGTTAAAAAAAAAAAGAGAGAAAAAAAAAACGTAAAAGGAAATTCTCCAAACACGATGAAAAACGCAAAATCTTTTCAAAGTGAAAAAAAAAAAAAAAAGTGCGTAAAAGAAAAATGAAGAAAAAAAACTAATGACATTTTTTTTAAAAAAAAAAAAAAAAAGGTAAAAAAAAAAAAAAAGAAAAGAAAATTGAATAAAAATATATTTGGAGTTCGCAAATATAAAAAGAGAAATAAAAATGAGAAAATAAACGCACAAATCGGATGTAGATAAAGAAACAAATATCTAAATTGACAAAATAAGTAAAATATGTAGAAAAACACAGCGGGCGATGATGTAAAAATCTGAGGAAACTATTTCAAACATTAAGCATAGTTTTCTTTGTTTGCCTTTAACGGGTTTAAGAAGATTTTTAGCACATATTTTGATGATGTCTATCGAATTGCTTACAATATTCTTATTTTTCAAATTATAAATGATTATATCGGTGTGATAAATATGCAGTAGAAAATGCGAGTGTAGATGAGAAAATATTTGAAAGATATGAGAAGAAATAACAATGTCAATAGATATATATTAGAACACCAGTCGATCTGTCTACTTCTCAGTGTTATCTATCTATCTATCTATCTATCTATCTATCTATCTATCTATCTATCTATCTATCTCTGTATATTTTCTCTCTATTTCTGTGTATTATCCATCTATACGCCCATCTCTCTATCTATCTATATCTGTATATCTATCTATCTATCTATCTATCTATCTATCTATCTATCTATCTATCTATGTATCTTTTGTTCCTGTAAGGAATGGTGAGTAGAATATCTCACATTTTATAAATTTTATATTATTCTTATTTATTTATGTCACTATCGTTCGCAGAGAGGATTTCCACAAGCAAAAAGTGGGACAAATTAAACAATTAGAATATAACATACGGTTATATCTTGCTAGTTTGACAATAAAACAGTGAGACCTAGTTGCCAATCATGTAGAAAGCCTAAATTCATGGATTTGTGGCAACAGTGAAAAAAAGCTTACCAGAGCAGTTGTCATGAAAATATTTGTAGAAAAGACAGAAGGAAAACACGTCACATCGGAGGGGATGTGTCTGAAGTCGAGATTCCTGGTCAGAAGCGATTTCATTACAGACTTTCTTTGTTTTTTGGTCAAGAAGGAGCAGCAGACCAGATTTGGCAGCAGTATTCAATGCACAGATAAATGGTAGATGTATAAATGGTCAAGATGAATTCTGACTAGAGAAAACTTCAGGTATGATACAATGAACAAACTTTACTTGCAGTAGGTGAAGCAACTGAATCGTTGTAGTAGCTCCATTTCCTGTCAGGGGAAAACGTGAAGCCAAGAAGCTGTAAAGTGTTTTTCGCGTAGTGTTTAGCACCAGTCATGACAGAAAAAAATTCCCTGTAGTGATTAAATAAAAGCAATTTTGATTTGGAGGCATAAAAATTTACAAGTCACTTCTTGCCCCAGTTAACAACTGATTGGGGTTTATTTTGTCAGATCTGTCGGATTTGCTACGAAGAGAGGAGTAAATCGTTGTGTCATCTGCATAAATATCTAGGTGGGGACTGATGACATCTGGAATGTCATTGATGAAGATCAGAAACATTGTAGGTACCAAGATAGAGCCTTGGTGATCCCTGTTTTCGTATGAAAGTATCTGGAAGCGTTCAAAACCACTTTCATTACCCGATTTGTTAGGAACGACTGGATTAAGCGACCCGTGACACCATGGCCCTTGAGCTTGCGTAGAAGGCCAACATACCAAACCTTGTCGAAAAGCGACAAGACACTAATCGGACGGTTCTATAGACTTCTTAAAAACAGGAAATACAGTGGAGAACATCCGACAAGCTGGAAGACAGGAACAAGCGAGGCATTTGTTGTAAAGTTTGGAGAGAACAGGAGCCAGCTCAGGATCAGATGTCTTTAGAACGACAGCAGGTATCCCGTCACATTCGCTTCTCTTTAGAAATGATGCCCGAAACAGTGACGGGGTTGTGCTCATATCACTCAGCAGAGCCTCCGTTCTGATGGAAAAATCGGACAGCTTCATCACTGAAGCCGAGATACCAGGTTAGGACCAATAATAATGCTGATTATTCTTTGGATTTTTTTTCAAGAATCTCTAAATATATAGCAAGGAGCACCAGACCAACTATAGATAGTTTCTGGAGAGAAGAATTATCTAGGACAAAACAGTGAACCAAATTTCCTAGCAGCCGACCTGGCAACTGACTTAATATAATATTTCTTCATAAGGATGTTAACCTAAGAAGACGCAACGAGGCGCTCTCCTGGGGGTTAGCATCAACCCTGCTGATGGGAGGCAAAAAGGGAACTTTAAAAATGATTATTGTAGTGAAGTTTCGTTTTGGAAACGTTAAAATTAACAAGCCATTCCTTGCCCCAGTTAACAACAGATTGTGCGTAATTTTTTGAGAACCGCAAACAATTTGACCAGACTTATGATCGAGACAGGAATAAGTATTTGCGACATCAGCATAAATACCGGTTTGAGAATTGATGACACCAGGATGACAAGGACAAAGTAGGTCCAAGAATAGAACGCTGGGGAGAGGTACCTACATTAGTACAAAAACACCTACAAGTGTAGCTGTTCAGTACAACTTCCATTTCGCGACTTGAAGAAAAACTGAATCAGTTAAAATTTTCCAATCACTTATCTCGTCCTGGGTAAGACGATAAACTCCGTTCGACAGCAAGACCTCTGATCAGTAGCTTATGAGGAGCGTGGAACCACCTCTTAATTGCTGGTATTCCCAGGTTAACTCTGACCCAGGATGGTAGCACCTGTAAGGTCCCAACTATAGCTATATAGTTAACCCCGAACTGGGGTCAAAACATTTTGAAAGTGTAAAAATAGGTTTTAATACCCGAAATAATTTGTAAAAAAAATTATTACCAGCAATACATTTTTTAAAAAATCGATTGATATTTTTTTGTATTGATTATTTTCGTGTATTGTCTATTTCTGTTTTTGTCTATCACTGTGTTATCTATCTATCTATCTATCTATCTATCTATCTATCTATCTATCTATCTATCTATTTATCTAGCTATCTGTGGATCAATCTATCTCTCTGTGTTATCTATTTCTGTGTGCTATCTATCTATCTATCTACCTATCTATCTATGCGTGTTATCGATCTCTGTGCTATCTGTCTATTCATCTGTCTCTGTGTAATATCTCTCTATCTCTGTGTCTTATCTATCTAGCCCTCTCTGTATGATATCTATCTATCTATCTATCTTCATCTTTCTATCTATATGTCCCTTTGTGTTATCCATATAGCTATCTAAATATCTAACTACCTATGTGCGTATTATCTCTCTACTGATGTGTGCTATCTATCTATTTCTTCGTGTTATCTATCTCTCTATCTATGAATTGTCTCGACTTTTGTCATTGCACTCTTATAGGTATTTTCTTTTGCCTTTATCACTGTCCTCCTTCTCATTATTGTAATATATTAGACAAATCTCTGACAATATAGAAATGGCACTTTCTCTACATTCATCTATGAACATTTTGCCTTTGGTGATTTTAATGCTCATCGCTTCAAGTGGCTTAAGCATTCTAATATGACTGATGCAGACGGCATTCACACTTTCAATTTTTCCGTTGCAGAGTCTCTGAGTCAAATAGTGGATTTCTCTACTCGTTTTCCTAATAAATCTTATCAACGTGCTTTTTCATTCGAATTGTTCCTTACCTTCTTACGTAGCTCTTGTCGAGCATCCCAAGACTGTCCTTTTGGCAAATCTGATCACGCTATAGTATCTTTTAATATTTCTTTAGAGTATTCTATATGACGATAGTACAGTGACGGTTAATCTCTGTATATAAGTGCAACCTGATTTCCCTCTTCACCACTTTTTTCATTACTTTGAGAATTGTCCTTTTTTTGTCATAAACCACGCCAACATTTTCCGATGAAGTGCTGACCGAGAAATTCCTGAAGAAAAAACAATGACTTTTAAATCGGTATTTATGTTCTGTGGTATTTAAGTCCTAGTTCAAATATTTCCGGCGCAGACACAACAGAAGTGTTATTTACAACCTCAACCGCACTATCCGATTCAGGCATAAGGTCAATTCCTTGAGAGCCAAGAGGTTTTTTTTTCTCCAGTCTTTTTTATCATACAGTATTGTTCCTTCGGTCATCGAGCACAGTTTGCTCAACATTAAAATAGGACCCTGTTTTTCTGTCGAACGTGTAAAGTAAATTAATAGATTATTCTCTCTCGTGTTCACGTTTCTATTGTTCGTCCTTAGCCGAAATTAGGCAGAAATTATCTTTCGTTGATTTATTTCACGCCATTTAGCAACAAATCGGTTGCATTTTGAAGAGCAGATAAGGTTGAAAAATCAAAGCTATCTTAATTCTCTCGTCTCAAAAAGATTTGATATTGAAAATAGAGACCAAAATAAACATACAGTGAACTTCTCCAATGTCACTCTAACAGAAACGGAACGTCTTGCAACACACTGCGGAAAAAAATCTTGCCAATCATGTATCGAAAGATACATGATCGCCTAAGCGTGTATCACGCATGGCACATACCTGACTGACGTGCTAATACCATTGAGAAAGGTATTAATCCTCTTCTTCTCCCCTCAGCTATAGGGAAATAGCAAAACAGTCCGCGTTCTATAGACTTGGATGGCAACTGGTCTACAGCAGAAAGAGATGGCAACCTACTGCTAGAAAATTATCTGCCTCGTCAGTCATGTATCGAAAGATACATGATCACCTAAGCGTGTATCATGCATGGCACATAACTGACTGACGTGTTAATGCCCTTGAGAAAGGTATTAATCCTCTTCTTCTCCCCCAGCTATGGGTAAATAGCAGGACAGACCAGGTTCTATAGACTTGGATGGCAACTGGTCTACAGCGGAAACAGATGGCAACCGACTGCTGGAAAATTATCTGCCTCGTCAGTCATGTATCGAAAGATACATGATCGCCTAAGCGTGTATCATGCATGGCACATAACTGGCTGACGTGTTAATGCCCTTGAGAAAGGTATTAATCCTCTTCTTCTCCCCCAGCTATGGGTAAATAGCAGGACAGACCGGGTTGTGTAGACTTGGGTGGCAACTGGTCTACCACAGAAAGAAATGGCAATCTACTGCAGAAAAAAATCTCGCAAGTCATGTATCGAAAGATACATGATCGCCTAAGCGTGTATCATGCATGGCACAAAACTGACTGAGGATCCCAACGTCCACTTATGTACGGCTTACCCAACGTGCCTAAAGATAATGTATCCCTTAGGCCTATTTTGTTTATAGTAGGTTCCGGACATCAAATGGCGAAATGGTTGGCTGAATTTCTTCAGCAAATCTCTGATCTGTTTTCCATTTATTATGTTTCCGACTCGTGTCGGTTTTCCAATTTCATTAGAGACTCTGATTTGTGTTCTGAAAACAAACTCATGGTGTCCTTTTAATATTGTCAGTTTATACACAAATGTCCACCTTAAGGACACCATACAAATCTGCACTGACCTTCTTTATAGATGTCATCTGGGTGCCGCTTTAATTCCTGAAAGTTTATTTTTTGAGTTTATGCGTTCATCAACAGAGGGGGGGAATTTAGCTTTAATAATACCATGTATTAAGTTGATGGGGTTGCAATGGGCAGTTCCCTGGGTCCGGTATTAGCTAACTTTTTTTTTTAAACTTTTATTAAAAAACCTTTTATTCGAAGAATATTGTAAAGCCCACGTATATGTACGTTATGTTAATGATACTTTTTTTTTTATATTCGATTCCACCAATGACGTTGAAGCTTTTTCATATCCATCTTAATTCTGGTTGAACGTAAGGGTGGTTTGCTCATTACCAGTGTTTATAAGAAGCCTACACAGGTCTATACACCTATTATTGTTTTGTCCCTAAGTCTCGTGAGATAAATTTAATTTCTACCTTGGTCCATCGCCTATTGAGGATTTGTTCTCCTTGTAGAATCGATGAAGAAATTCATCGTATTTTTGTGACAATGATAATCCTGCGAATGACAACGCGTTGTTGAGCGTAAGATTAATCGCTTTAAAGAAGTGGTAGTTTGCTGTCCTGGCCTTTGTTCTGTTTCTTTAAAATTGCCGTGGTTAGGCAGGAAAGGGAAAACGGTGGTCGACAAGGGAAATACCGGAAAATCAAACAAGGGTTTCACCCAAGACTTGTGAATGAAATCACATAGACTGAACAGTTCTGAAATCGCTGCAGAGAGTAACTGGCCATTAAGAGCGAGGGTTCGAAAGTACAGGACTTTCTCAAACTGGTAATTACGAGAGATTATGTGCTCTGCCCAGAAATTGTAAGGTCCGCTCATTATAGTTTCAGTATGAACTATGGAATCGTTCTGTGGGTATTGAAGCAACACAAATGTACGTATGAGGTACCTGCTATAGCTGCCTTAAACAAGTATACTTGAGAGACGAAAGAGCCATTATCTTACTATATATATATATATATATATATATATATATAGAGAGAGATATATATATATAGAGATAGATAGAGAGAGATAGATAGATAGATAGATAGATAATATTAGTGGTAAAATACATACGTATGCAAAATATATAAATACCCATACATGTATATTTTTAGAATAAAAATTCCAAGAGGAAGAATCCAGGTAGAACTCAATGTCCAGGACAGAGAGAGAGAGAGAGAGAGATTTAGTTGATGAAAAACTAGGTAATCCGTATGGGTAAATCTAAGGAGGATAAAATCCAGAGAGCTCAATGTAAATCCAGGTGAAAAACTGTGTTGAAATAAACACTTCGTTAATTTACATATGTTTAATACGACCCGTCAAAAATGTGTAAATTTCTTTTCATTTTTGTTTCGACCTTTGGAAATAAAGTCTGATGATCCGCAGTCCTTTAAAAGGGCTGTGGTGAAATAATTTATTACATGGAACCTTAAAGTGGTCTGTTTTATATTATATATATATATATATATATATATATATATATATATATATATATATATATATTGTGTATTTAGGCAACAATCCTTCTTTCATGCACATTTCATTGAATACGACAGACAAAAGACTCACTAAATCTTTCTTACTGTAGCTCAATTAGATCTCATTTAAATATTCATGGAGACCTACCGGATACTATTCGTAACATACTTGTTGACAACACTAATATAATAGCATCATCTACATGCAAAAAAGGCTAAAAATAATGGAAGCCTTATTTATAAAAGCAAAAAAATACACCACTTAATAATATCAACTACGAACAGGGACACAATATCTTGACGATGTTTTGAAAAATGAAAACATTATATAAATACATACATGCAACAAACTATTTCTTATTTAACAGTTAAAATATTTAATCCTTGAAAATGGCTAAATGTATAGCCGAAAGCTCTCGGATTAAAAGAACATTCGGACAGTTTTTATATAATTTATCGTCTGAAAAGAAAAAAAATATTAGATTGCATGAGAAATTGTATAAAAAATAAATCAAAGCATCTTGTCTGTCGGATTAAATGAAATATATATATATATATATATATATATATATATATATATATAGAGAGAGAGAGAGAGAGAGAGAGAAAGAGAGAGAGATAGATAGTTAACAGAAATAATACATAGACAATGAACCAAATCAGATAGATAGATAGATACATAGATAAATAATGAACAGAATTAGATAGATAGATAGATAGATAGATAGATAGATAGATAGATAATGAATAGAATTGGATAGATAGATACATAGATAAATAATGAACAGAATTGGATAGATAGATAGATAGATAGATAGATAGATAGATAGATAGATAGATCGGACACATATCCGCAAATCAAACCAAAATTCTTTACAACACTCAATGCAAGGACATATTCTGCCTATACTTGTAAAATAAGCAAATTATGCATACACTCTTAATGTACACATTTTCTGTGTTTGTCAACCTCGTATATGAAACCGTTCTGCAAGTGACGTCACCTTTTCTGCATACTTAAATTTGAATAAGACATCTAACGTTCTTAAAATGACAAGACAAAGCCAATAACCCTTGCCTACAACACTAACTCTTAGAGACCGTCGATAGTTCTCGAACAAAAACAGAACGAAAACATGAACTTTTGCACTGTTTATGTTCAACAAACCTCCTTTGATATGATGCTTAAGTTTAAGTGCATTCTTGTGAATTCAGAACAAAAACGCGTTGAAGACAAAAGTTTAGAATAAAAATACATAATACGCTTTCTCCTTAGAAAAAAAGGAGCCTAACCTTAGAAAAAAGGCTTTGTAGCAGAAGATTTTCTGTCATTCTTACAGAGATTAGTCAGATCATTTAAAAAAAAAATGTTAAAACTTGCAAAAATGGCGGATGTCAACTTTTAACCCCTTTAGTCATACACCGACGATATTCGAAAAAAAAGTTAAAAAAAATAAGCAGGCATATCTTGTCAGTTGAATTTAATACACAGGGTGGGACAAAAGTAACGCCCTTTTTATGTTTATTAACTATTATTAAACAAAAATAAATTAGAGTTGTTTAAGAAAATTTGTAAGTATTGTCACATCAAAAAATTATGATTTTTTTATGATTATCAAATTATGTTCAAATTGCTCCCTTTCATGTTCAATACAACGCCGAACTCTATCAGCAACAATTCTACAAACTATTTGACACATTTCTACATTAATTTCAGAAAGTTTATCAGAAATTGTTTTAACTGGGATATTGTTTTCAGTTTGAACCTGTAAACAAGATCTTTGACTACACACCACAAAAAAAAACAGCTGGTAGTGTTTGGTCTGCTGATTGGGATTGCCATTCAATTCCTCCACATCGTCTTGTCGACTTCAGCTTGAAATCAAGATTTAACCAATACCGAACATATAATCCAGAGTTAATCTTAAGCCATCTTAAACCACTGTAAGGAGGATAGCGGCTCGGATTGAGGAATCGGAGAGCCGAGTTCGAATTCCAATCGAATCCATTACATTCACTTTCGTTGGAAACGTACGAATCCTTGTCTTCTACCCCCAGATATGGGTAAATAGCAGGACAGACTGGGTTCTATAGCCTTGGATAGCAACTGGTCTACCGCAGAAAGAAATGGCAACCTACTGCGAGAAAAAATCTGCCTCATCAGTCATGATCAACTAAGTGTGTATCACGCATGGCACACAACTGACTGACTGCACATTTAATCAAACAAAAAATATATTAAAAACATATTTTTTTCCCATATTTTCTCATATATATATATATATATATATATATATATATCGGTTGAATTTCAATCCAGGCTTGAGGCATTCGGATGTCTCGTCGCACTGAAGAGCTGTGATACAGCGAAACAGTACTGACTGAGAATGATATATATATATATATATATATATATATATATATATATATATATATATATATATATATATATATAAAGAGAAACTGCAAAAGGTTTTGGTTATATATAATTTTGCGGCTTTTTCTCGTTGGAACAACTATAATCCCACCCTTTATACACACACACACTGATATATATATATATATATATATATATATATATATATATATATATATATATATATATATATATATATATATGACGTTTGCGTAGAAACATGACACTGTCGCCGCTGTGTGTTAACTTCAAAGTCCACTTTTATTTTTACATACGCTCTATCCCTGATATTGAGCACTTTAACCTATAAATATAGCATACCTTAAAACTATATTTTATCACACACACACACACATATATATATATATATATATATTCTTCTCATAACTCGATTTTTCTTAATCATAATCCTCAAATCACACATGATGATATATATATATATAAAAAAGAAAAGAATATATATATATATATATATATATATATATATATATATATATATATATATATATATATTTTTTTTATCTCTTTTCTTTTTTATGTGGGATCTTCTTTACTTGAAATAATTTTTATTCACATTTTTTTCCAGGTCCTTACTGTTTGTTTCCAAGAACCCCTCCAACATTCTCTCTCTTTCCGAAAATATCACGTTCTCTTTTCGCCCCGCCACCTGCCGGCGCACATTCATTTGCTTTCCTCCTCTTTTTATTTGTATCGCTTCTTCTAGCTTCCCCCTCTTTCTCATTTTCTCTCAGTCTCTTTTACTTTCTTTTTTTTTTCTTTTTTTTTTTTAATCTTTCTTCTCTCTTCAAATCCACTTCCGCCTGAAAAGACTCCTTTTTAATTTCATCTGTATACAAAGACGCTCAAATCGCAAATAACGTCCCTCCATCACCAAATAATTTCCTGGCGATATAAATGGATGTTCAGGGCGCCATTTTTCTCAACTCTGAATCCTCCGTCACGACAGAATATAGATTTACACATAAATATGACTGATTACATTTCACAACGTTACCGACGACGACGACGACTACAAGCAAGGAGATAAAGAAAAGCCACTTCCGTTTTCGCAAAACATTTTTTGTAGTGCTAGCATTACAAATATTTCTAAATTCGCGGGCTTTATTTAATTTGGTGAAATCATTCATTTCAAAGTGAGTTTAATACATTGATTTGGCTGCGACACAATAGAGACAACAGATTAAATAAGTTATCAAATGACAGATCGGTAGAAAAGATTGAGAAGAACTTAACCGGGAGAGAAAAATAACGATTGAAATATATATGGAGATGTGAGTCAGGTGAAGAAAACAGTGCAATAGTAAAAAGGGAGAGAAAGAAGACGGAGAAGAAGCTAAGAGAAAGAGCGACAGGGTACGGAAGAAGATAAAATGGGAGAGAAGAAATATGGATTTAACTGAGATAGATAGATAGATAAATAGATAGATAGATAGATAGATAGATAGATAAAAGGCGTGAATAGATAGATAGATAGATAGATAGATAGATAGATAGATAGATAGATAGATAGATAGAGAGAGAGAGAGAGAGAGAAAGAAAGAAAGATAGATAGAAAGAAGACGTGAATAGATAGATAGAAGGCGTGAATAGATAGATAGATAGATAGATAGATAGATAGATAGATAGATAGATAGATAGATAGATAGATAGAAGGCGTGAATAGATAGATAGATAGATAGATAGATAGATAGATAGAAGAAGAAGAAAGGCGTGAATAGATAGATAGATAGATAGATAGATAGAGAGAAGGCGTGAATAGATAGATAGATGAGAGAGAGAGAAAGAAAGAAAGATAGAAAGAAGATAGAAAGGCGTGAATAGATGAATGGATTGATAGAAGAGATAGATAGATAGATAGATAGATAGATGAATAGATAGATAGAAGATAGATAGAAAAGGCGTGATAGATAGATAGATAGATAGAAGGCGTGAATAGAGATAGATAGATAGATAGATAGATAGATAGATAGATAGAGAGAGAGAGAGAGAAATATAGATAGAAAGAAGACGTGAATAGATAGATAGAAGGCGTGAATAGATAGATAGATAGATAGATAGATAGATAGAACGCGTGAATAGATAGATAGATAGATAGATAGATAGATAGATAGATAGATAGATAGATAGAACGCGTGAATAGATAGATAGATAGATAGATAGATAGATAGATAGATAGATAGATAGATAGATAGATAGATTCTGTCTGTCTTGAAATGACGTCGGATAGGGTTACAGTAAAGAAAAGGGTTAAAAAAGTAAAAAGGTTTGGAAATCTAAAATGAATAAAAGACGAAAAACCGAAACAAAAAGGAACAAAAGAGAGAAAGAAAGAGAAAAAATGAAAGAACGAGGAAAAGAAAGAAAGAAGAAGAAAGAAAGAAAGAAAGAAAGAAAGAAAGAAAGAAAGAAAGAAAGAAAGAAGAGGAAGCCAAGAAAAGAAAGAGAAAAAGAAAAAAAAAGACTTGCTTTTAGTGGAGAATTGTAACAAGGAAAGAATAGGAGAAAGAAACGAAATTCTTTTTAGTAAAACCATAATCAAATATAAAAAAGACAAAATTCTAATTAAGAAAGAAAATACCAAATATACTATTGTCCCAAAATGAAATGCAAAACAAAACCAAGGAAAGAAAAGGAATTAGGAAAATAAGTAAAAATTGAATAAAAAAAAAACTTTTAAAAAAGTACATTTGAGAAACAAAGATTTATTCGAGTGAGACACCGGGAAAACAAGAAACAAACAAAAAAGAAGGAAAGAATGCTAGATAAACGGAAAAATAAGGGTTAAACAAAAGAAAACAACAGTAATGAATTATTTCAATACGCAGAACATTTAAAATAGCAAAGAAACTTTCAATGCTCGCCGCCATTTGCATTCTATTGCTGTGTTATCGTCTGCCAACAAACACACTGTAGCCAAACTACTGCCGTGAAATCTCCACCAGCCGATACATACATATTTTAATTTCCGTCTCAGAAATATTTCCTGGCTCTGAAGAAAACCCTGAATTGTGCCAAAGATTTTGTTGTGTGTCACTTGAAAAAGAGCGCTGGTGGGTATTGGGGTGGATTAAATGTTATTCGTAAGTGAAGACAATATCAATATTTAAAGAATGAATAACCCTGACAAGTATCCTGGACTAGAAAATAATTAACTAATGTTCTGATTGAGATCCGTTTCGTTTTGTTATTAAATGTCATTTTTCCCCCCAACAAGGTTGGAAATTTTCCCCTTACTTTGTAGGTTCTTTATTTATCAGTCTGCTGTTTTCATTACCATTATGACTTTTTCTATGTTTTTATACTTGTTTTCTATATTATAAATAAGTTAATTTCATTGTTATTATCAGCAATAGTTTTTAAAATTTACGTCTAATTTTCTGATTCCATCACCATTATCATCAATGACATCGCTTTAAGGCTTACAGCCACATCACGTTGAAAGCCCGGTTTCCGTACGATCACCGAAGTTAAGCAACGTCGAAACTGGTCAGTACCTAGATGGGTGTCCGCTTAGGAATACCAGGTGCTGTAAGCCTAGATGCGTTCTAGATGAGTTCTAATTCCACTTGGCTGCCTTATAGTCACTTACGCGTAAATAACCTTGGGAAAGGTATAAATACACCTCTTCCCCTCCAGCTATGGGTTAATTAGTAAAACTTGTATCACTAAAATCATTATTATCTCAAAACCAAAAATTAAATAAATAAATAAAAATGCGTGCAAAATATTTACATTTCCATATTAAATAACTCCTGGAGGTTGATATGACGCTAGACAAAAGCATGCAACCAACACTGTTTTAACTAGTTTAACGTATCGACAAAATCATGCAGCGTACTGAACTGCTATATAATATCAATCACCCTATATGGCAGAGAACGCTAGACTATTAGATGAATAGGACACGAGGAAAAAGAGGCGTAGTTCTACAGAAGGATGATGAGAATGTCTTGGAAAGAACAATGAGGAAGTTTGAAGGAGAACGGAAACGAAATGACAATTATATTTAGAACCAGAAATAGACAGGTGAAATTTCTGAGACACATAATGTAGAAAGAGGACTTGGAGAACTTGACACTCACAAGACATTGAAGGTAAGAAGAAACGGGAGAATACCGAGTAAGGTGGACTGTAATAGCAAAAAAGTTTAGCTTCCATTATTTTTTGGGGGGGTGCTTCTAACGAAAGAAGTGCTACCATCCCAGGTCAAGGTAGACCTGGGAACAGCAGCAATTGGCCAAATGCTCCTCAAAACTTCCCGATTAGAGGTCTTGCTGCCGGATGTAGTTTAGTGTCATGCTCAGAACTAAGAAAGAAAGAACGAAAGAAAGAAATTACGGGAAAAAAAGAAAGAACGAAAGAAAGAAATTACAGGAAAAAAAAGAACGAAAGAAAGAAATTACGGGAAAAAAAGGAAAGAAAGAAAGAAAGAAAGAAAGAAAGAAAGAAAGAAAGAAAGAAAGAAAGAAAGAAAGAACAAGAAATAAATAAATAAATAAAGAAAGAAAGAAAGAAAGAAAGAAGTTATAGACAAGAAAGACAGAAAAGAGAAAGAAAGAAGTTATGGACAAGAAAGAAAGAAAGAAAGAAAGAAAGAAAGAAAGAAAGAAAGAAAGAAGTTATGAACAAGAAAGAAAGAAAGAAGTTATGAACAAGAAAGAAAGAAAGAAAGAAAGAAAGAAAGAAAGAAAAAGAAAGAAAGAGGTTAAGGACAAGAAAAAAGAAAAAAGAAAAAGAAAGAAATGGAAAGAAAGAAAAGAAAGAAAGAAAAGAAAGACAAGAAAGAAAGAAAGAAAGAAAGAAAGAAAGAAAGAAAGAAAGAAGTTATGGACAAGAAAGAAAGAAAGAAAGAAAGAAAGAAAGAGGTTAAGGACAAGAAAGAAAGAAAGAAAGAAAGAAAGAAAGAAAGAAAGAAAGAAAGAAAGAAAGAAAGAAAGAAATAAAGAAAGAAAGAAAGAAAGAAAGAGGTTAAGGACAAGAAAGAAAGAAAGAAAGAAAGAAAGAAAGAAAGAAAGAAAGAAAGAAAGAAAGAGGTTAAGGACAAGAAAGAAAGAATGAAAGAAGTTATCGACAAGAAAGAAAGAAAAAAGAAAGAAAGAAAGAAGTTATCGAAAAGAAAGAAAAAAAGAAAGAAGTTATCAAGAAAGAAAGAAAGAAGCTATGGACTAGAAAGAGAGAAAGGAAAAAAAGATATTATGGACATGAAAGTAAAAAACAGAGAAAGGGAGATTTTTTTTAATATAACGATGATGAAAATGAGAAGAAATAAAAGAGAATCTTGATCTTAAAATACGGTGTCTCTGGACGAATATTTGGCCTAATCTAATCGTTCCTAACAAATCGTGTAATGAAAGTCGTGTTGAAAGGACATTGTTCATTTCACATTAAAGGAGGGGTCCCACAGGGCTCTATCCTCGGGCATACACTGTTCTAGATCGTCATCAACAACTTCCCCGATGTCATCTCGGTATCTATACAGATGACACATCTATTTACTCCTGTCTTAGTAACAGGTATAACAGATCCGGCGCAGTAGAACTGGAAACGGCTCTTGAAAACGAGCGCCAATCAGTGGTTAACTGGGGCAAGTAATGGCTTTTGTTTTTTGTTTTTTAAATTTTAATGCCACCAAAACAAAACTGCTTTCATTTAATCACCACAAAGAATCTTTTCTGTCTACCATCAAGATGGCTGATGGTAACCTCCAGGAGAACAACACTTTGTGCCTTCTTGTACTTGCGTTTGTCTGATTCTAGGAAAGTTGGTTCTTTGTGTTGTGCGAGACAATTTTTCACGTCAGAATCTGTCTTGTACTCCTATTATATATCTCAAGATTCTTGACAAAAAAATTCAAGGAAAGGCCTGTAATATAATCGATCTTGCCCTGTCTTTTCTACAAATATTTTTATCGCAGTTGTTCTGATGAGATGTTCTCCTTAGTGCCTTGACTGTATTCATTTAAGGGCGCTACAGGATCTCGCCGGTTTACTGTTGAACTAGCTAGATACAATGGTCAGTTCTATTCGAATAGTTTCTTTTCTCGCACTCGTCGCCTGTGAAAATCCCTTCTAATTTCTTGCTTTCCTGTTAATTACAATCTTAATTATTTTAAATGCAACGTCAATTGCCATCTTTTTTCTTCCTGAATCATGTTCATTTATTTTTATTTTCCTCATCCGTCCTGGGTATGATGATAAATTACATCCGGCAACAAGGTGGGTTTGACGAGCGTGGACCCACATCTTAATTGCTGTTGGGGTGGTAGCACTTGTTAGGGTCCCAGATGTGGACAAATCTTTACCCCCACCCATCCCCCAGAAAATTGGTGCCAAAGCACTATGAAATTATAAAAACAGGTTTTTATCGTAATAATGTCAGCAGTACATTTTTGAAGAAAAAAAATATTACCTGCAATACATTTGACTCTCGACAAAAATCCCTCTTTACAAAAATACATCAATGAAACCTGATCTACAAACTGATTTCTTACAAAGAAAACATATTCTATTCATATGAACCTATCCTAAAAAACTTCTTGGTATTAAATAACTCATTGATAAGCCGTAAAACAAAATGAACTAGACTAAACTAAACTTATACTCACTAAAGTTTTCTCATTCTCTTTCACTCCCTGTAACCTGATGTGTCCTTGTGACATTGTCGTCTTGTTTGGGGATGGAATGATTAAATAAAATAAAACATTGTGTTAAGTTTGACTTCTGGCTTTTTCGTAACTTTTCTAATCGTATTTAGTTCTTTTCTTAATTTCCACTGCCCTAAAACATTTTCAACTTCTCAACTTCAAAGAAACACTGAAGTGAGGAATGGAATAATCATACACAGAATTCTATCAGAAAGAGCTATACAAATGCAAAACGATATATGCCTATGTTTTGTGATTATGAAGAAAAAGTGTTTGATAAAGTATGTCCCAAAGAACTATTTGAACTGCTAGGTAAGCTTGATTTATCCGGAAAGGATATTAGAATAGTCCTAAAATTATACTGGGAGCAAACCACCTACATACAGTCAATATACAAAAATAAAAAGAGGCATAACACATGGATTTGTCTTCTCAGCAGACAAATTTAACCTTCACAGTAACGTATTCCTGAGAATACTAGAAGTCCTACCAGGATTTATCATCGGTGGACATAATTTTAATAGAATAAGATAAGCAGATGTTGATGATAGACACAGAAAATGTGACTAACTTTTCAACAAGGAGGTACCCTATAGCGTTAACTTTGACGCCTTTGGCTTTTTATTAACTTTCCTAATCGTATTTAGTCCTAAAACATTTTAAACTTGAAGAAACACTGGAACAAGGAATGCAATATTTCTACTCGGAAATTATATCAAAAAAAGCAATACAAATGCAAAACGATGTATACCAATGTTTTATGGGTTATGCAAAAGCATGTGAGAAAGTACATCACAAATGATTGTCGGAAATCCTAGGTAAGCCTGATTTATTTGGGGAAGTATATTAGGATTATCCAGAACTTGTATTAGGAGAACACCGCCTTCATAGGGATAGAAAATGAATTCAGTAAATACACAAACATAGAAAGACTCATAAGATTCATTGAAAAAAAAATCACACATGTTTTACATAAATAAAGCCTTTCGTAAGATGTGGACTGAACTCGTGAGATTGAGATTATTATTATTATTATTATTATTGTTGTTATTATTATTATTATTGTTGTTGTTGTTATTATTATTATTGTTGTTGTTATTATTGTTGTTATTATTATTGTTATTATTATTATTATTGTTGTTGTTATTATTATTGTTGTTGTTATTGTTGTTGCTGCTGCTGCTGCTGCTGCTGCTGCTGTGTTATGTTTCCTGCTTTGTATCCAGTGGAGCCGGATAAAAACTATTGTCCTTAAGCCATACAGGAGAATTGTCATTTCATTGATAGCACCTTTCTTAGTATATGGAATGTTCCTAGTAGGGTGATCTTCTGGGCAATCTGCATGTTGATGCTACCTGGGACACTGTTAGTAAAATCGTCATTTCCTTTTCTCATGAGGCCCAGATGATTCGATTACTATTGATACAGTTTTCATTCCCCACATGCTGTTAATCTCGATCTCCAGATCTTTGTATTTGGACTATTTCTCGATAACTTTCATGGAGGTGTTTCTCTCAGATGGTACTGCTATGTCAATAAGAATACTCTTCCTGAATTTCTTGTCTTTTATGATAATATCAGGTCTGTTGGCTTTTATTTCCCTGTCAGTGTGAATTGGCATATCCCAGAGGATAGTTACATCGTTATTTTGTGTAATAGTGTCTGGTTGGTGGTCATACCATCTCTCAGTGGTTTCGATTTTGTGCTTCTTGCATATCTTCCAGTGCACATATGTCACTACCTTGTTATGTCTGTGGGTAGATTCATTTTTTGCTACTTCCGGACATCCTGAGATAATATGGTCGACAGTTTCATCATATTTTCCGCAGATCCTGCATTTCGGGTTAGTTCCATCCTTGTTTATGTGACAGTGATAGGATCTGGTTGCGA